GAGCGCGTCAAATGCTAAGGTCATATTTCCTTAATGTAGTGCATGTTTCGCTTGGGAGGTCTCGGTGTTCTTGTCCAGCTGGATGACGATATCAATCGCCGACCTACCATCGGCTAGCGGGGTTTTCCCTAATCAGGGATCTCCCACCAGCGGGAACCGCCCAAAATGGGACAAGCTCCAAGTCTCCCGACATCTGTGGCAGTGTAGTGCATGTAAGTGTGTGTGAAAGGGGTGAGAATAGGGCAAGGCAGAGGAAGGAAAGATAGCCCATTTGTTAGGATACTGCTCGTATTATTGATAGACGAAACCACGGAAATCTACCGATCAGAGCAGCCGGGCGCTATAATTCTTTCAGGCAACGACAGAACTCGACCTAGTTATCTGGCTACAGTCGAAAACCCTGCCATCGTTGGGACTCAAATCTCAGGACATCCTGGGCAGAGGCACTGCAGTGACCATTGTTGATGACCTGAGCTACCTCTCCAGGTCCGACAACAGGAGTTTTTCTGTCTGAAAATCGCCAATTTCTGCCGCAGCATTCATATACTTTCTCTTGACTATGTATGTAGTAAAGCGAAAATGCAAAATTTGTAAGAAAGTGTACATAAGAAAAAAAGCACATTTCGGTCAAATATTTGTAGATTCAGTAAATGTAAAATAACTAAAATGCAGTTTCGGCGAACATTGTAAGGATTAGATGCTATAATTGGAATGTGGTATTGATTGTGGAGTCAAACAACACTAATATCTTAGAACACCAGAAATACATTTCAATTACAGATCATTTCACTTTACATTTTCTTCTTTTCATAAGTGACACTTTCACAACAAACAGGGGTAAAGGAATGGCCATCAACAAACAGATAATATTAAAATAGTGACCTCAAAAGTTATAGGATAATAACAAAATGAAGTAATAATAGCATTATGAAGTAACATTATGTAGTAGAAACGAACAATTAAAGATTCGTTTGAAAGAAATTGATGCTATTGTAACATGTTGCTCAAGAATCTTATAACGAAGTTATATTATTTTGGCACACTTGTTTTTTAATTCATCAGGTATTAACGGTACAAATGGTAGAAGTATAAGACATTTTTTCACAAATATACAAACAATATGTTACATTACAAATTATTAATGATGGATCTAATTATAATATTCGTCTAATATGTTTAAACCGGAACAAATTGCACACAACATAATTATTCACAATAATGAGGAACTTTTATTAATTTTCGTTGATTACAGAAACTATCATGGCTCATTAAAACGAGCTACACTTACGATACTGCTGAGTAAGAAAAATCTTCGTTATCCATCAATGTTAAAGCAATTAGTGTCTTTGTTTGAAAACATAATTTTAAGAGCAATAATTGTTCTGCGCTCTGTTTATTGTCTAAATTAACAATCAACTACTTTAATTTTTCACAAGTAAGTATTTTCACGACAATGTTTAAGCTGAGCAATACACAAGTATTTCTTAAAACCTGTCTTATTTTAAGAACTTTGCAGAGCAAAATTCTATTAGATAAAATCAATGCTAATAATATAATATCTATTCTAAAATAAACTATTCTTCAAAATATAACCCAAATGCAAAATGCAACGATAATATATTATATACATTTTTTACATGTGTATTTCCAAACACCAGTTTGTTCTCAGAATTTGGAATAACAGCTTTCGTCACGGCATCATGATTTTATAATTTAACATAAGAAGATTTAATACATCTTATATAGGACGTTGTAAGTTGTTTTACCATGGAAAGTATCCCATTTTTAGGGGTTTATGTATTTAATTATTCGTCATTGTGTTGGCAATCAGATATCAATGAATAAAAGGTTAACAAAAATAATGATGTGATGAAAATATGTTTGCATAAGGCTGAAACTTACAAGTATTAAATGGCACAGTTGTAGATATATAGATGATAAAGCAGCCAAAAAAGAATGACACAAACAAATAAACCTACTCAGTTGCAAAAGAAAAATATTGTGAAATGTAATGTTAAACTACGCAGAAGGTAATGTACAAAACATATTATGATGATCCAATGACTATCCTTCAGAAAGTAAGAGGCATAGTAAGTTACCTCAATTGCATTCCACATTGGCAACACTGCCTTAAAAAAAAGTCGGGTTTGTTTGTCATTTTCAACATTTGTTCTGGAAAATAGTTTAATTGTGTATTTTGGCTTCAAAAATCGTTACGTGTGTGAGAGTGCGTCGATGCATGGTAATTATATTGTGAGTGAGCAGAATGTGTGTGTGTGAGAGAGAGTAAGAGAGAGAGAGAGAAAGAGAGAGAGTAAGAGAGAGAGTAAGAGAGAGAGTAAGAGAGAGAGAAAGAGAGAGAGAGTAAGAGAGTGAGAGAGAGTAAGAGTAAGAGAGAGTGAGAGTGAGTAAGAGAGCGAGAGAGAGTAAGAGTAAGAGAGAGTGAGAGTGAGAGAGCGAGCGAGCGAGCGAGAGAGAGAGAGAGAGAGCGAGCGAGCGAGCGAGCGAGCGAGCGAGCGAGCGAGAGAGAGAGAGAGAGAGAGAGAGAGAGAGAGTGTGTGCGCGCAATGTGTTCGCAAATGAAAATACGAACTGCAATGACAGTGGTGATTAAAGGGGCAGTGGCTTCGGCTGACCAATATGAAATGATATCCATGGAACCGAGAATCATTATCCGATCCATGGCGGAACACAGGGACCTGCATAAAATTCGAATTAAAAAGTCTGAAGCTCAAATATCTACGCTAGGGGCATTTGATGCTGGAACTATTTGACACATAATAAAGTTCTGCAGAAACGGACGGACTGAGAAACATTCGGTGATAGAACTGCATCAAAGCAAGCGCATTTTCTATAGTGGTCTGTGATAATCGTGTTTTGTACAATGCTCCTTGCAATGACCCCGCATATTTAGCAATGGCATCACGATGGCGTCAGAGCTAAGCTACGATAGATGATTCAAGGCTTAACGAAATAAAGAGGAGTGACTATATGAAAAGACAAGTTTGACTGGTCGGGAAACGAACGTCATGTAGAGCGATGTAAGTGCAAGAAATGATGATGAAAACATTTACTAATGACCTAACGAAACGAACGCATTGTCGAATTGAATATATGGGCAGTAAGTTATTTTGTCAGTAGTAGTTCAGTTATGTTGTCAGCATTCTTCTTATAAAAAGCACTCCAAAGAAAATGACGGTTTTACCGTTAAGATAAAATAATGATGATATCACAGATGTGAGCCACAAGTCGCTCTCCCTCAGACAGGAATTGATAAGATGCAATTGCATACATATAACAACGCCTAGATGTCGGACGAATTGATACCAAATATTAGGCAGCAGACTGAGGAAATAAAATCAAAATATCAAGACATGATGTACAAAGAGTAACATTAGAACTTAACGAGATCACAGGTAAATTACGGATGAATGAGAAATATTTTCATTTTTATCAATGTGTGATGGTAACATTGACATTGGTGCCAGAAAAAGACATAACAGTTATTACTGTAAAGGCAACAACGTCCTCATATCATGGGTGCCTAACAATAGAATCATATCATTATAATATGATGAAACGTCATAGCTAGAATGATTACAGCGAAACGGTTACACATACTCTCTGACGTTTTATGAATGACGTCAAATTAATACACATTTTAATAATCTAGTTCCGTCAAAGTTCACGGACCGAAAGCTATTCAGACAACACTCAACTCACTGATAATATCACGTCAGAGATGAGATACCCTAGAGACACTTTAATACCGAGGGTAGCTGAGAACAGAATCTTATCGAACAGTTAATTGTCAAGAGACGATTCGCATATTACTTGATGTCATAAGATACAATCCAATGAGAACAATACAAACACGTGATGTTTCACCAACGAGCGCATTTCAGCGTCTATGTCACATCACAACAGCAGGATACCAGACGCCAAACGCAAAATCAAGCGATTAATTCACTACCTACTGACGTATATCTGTATATTACTGTCGCCTGAGAAATTCAAATTCATATTGATGTCCAAGTATAGTTTGCAACCCAGCATCGAAGTCTTCACGTCCGATACAAACATTGAAACGTCACAGCAATGTCAACTCAATGATGTCTCAATATTAGCGTAAATTAGTGAACAACGTCAGAGAAATACATAATTAAACGATGTCAGTGACCTACAGCGTAAAGCTCGTCGCGTGGTCGATAGAGTGCGTAAGTCACGCATTCTCTCAACAAGAAAAATGCGTGATCTCAGGAACAGGGACAACAAATTCCTGACAACGTTAGTTGCCGACAACAGTGTTCCGTAACAACACAACGGAACGCAATGCAATCTCATAGCAAATGGTTGACCAATAACTCCTTTACCTTTCAATGGTACAACCGCATCAGAACAAAACAAATTCAGGATAACGTCCCTAAGAAGATTGTTGCAGCATCGAAGGCACAGGACGACGTCCAATGAAAAAACACGAAATTTCACAATACTAGAGGAAAACAATTGTAGGCACAACAGCAGCGTCACAGAAATACGAACATTAACGACCCCATAACTCCTTGACGTCTCCATAGTACAAACACATCAGAACAATACAAATCCACGATGTCGTCGTAACGAGAATTCCATTACAGAATCGAAGTCACAGGAGGTCGTCAAATGAGCAACATCGAAATTTCACAAGAAGAGAACTACCCACAACTTGACGTCTCAATACTCGAGCGAAACTCGTCTGGACATAACAGCAAGATTGTGTAAATTGAGGACCACGTTCCATAGCTGTGAACTGTAGTTGGCCGCGTGTTCATCAGAGCGCGTTGACGGTGCGGTGGTAGTCTAATGAAAAACATCAAAATTTTTCAAGTAGGAAACACCTCTCAAATCATTGCATACGTCGCCTCAGCACTCGAGTGAAACAAGTCCGGGCATAACAGTCGACGTCGTAGAAATTAGGAACCACGATCCAGCGGCGGACGCTGTAGTCGGGCGCTCGTCCGTCAGAGCGCGTCGACGGCGCGGTGCCAGTCGCGCATGCGCAGCAGCGCGTCGGCGGCCGCCTGGCCCATGATGCCCTCGGCGGAGGTGTCGGGCTCGAGCGCCAGGATGCGCGCCGCCTCCTCCAGGCACGCCACCACCTCCTGGAGGCGCGCCGCCAACTCCTTGGGCGCGATGGCCCGCGCCTCGAAGCCACGCGTCGCCAGGATGAGCAGCGCCGCATAGCAAGCTCGATTACAGGCAAAATCCCTGCGGCCCAGCAACCGCGCAACACCAGCTCACATACTCATAGGAGCAAAATATCATGGAATTGACGGTTGGGAACAAGGGGAAATACTGATATGGAGCCTGCGTAGACAGCCAAGATCCCCGCGCAAGCATAACACCAACACTTTCTCACATTCATCCTCATCGAACAACTATCTGGAAGATGCACGAAGTATAAACAGAGCATGCCTATTGGAGATGCGTTCTACAGGCAATCCCTGCGGAGCGGGAGCGAGCAACGCGCACACCACCGGCTACATACTCAATAGGGCGATGTTGTGTCTGGGATTGACCTGTTCACGAAATCAGTCTGGGGGGCGTGTGGGGTGTGGGTGAGCAGCACTCGTCTTACAGGCGATGGCAACCCTAGGGGGGGGCTCGTGAACCGTGGTCATAACGCGCACACCACCCGCTAAGCATTGACTCATTCAGGTACATATTGCCGTTTGCCGCTCACAGCACAAGCCTGCGTTGAGAACTATTGACAAGAGCCCGGCTTTCTAATTTTACGTGGCGAGACTCAGGCCATCTAGAGCAGCTGCTCGGTTCCGGTGCTGACCTGCGACCAAAAAATTTACGTGTAGCGCGCCTTTATTACGACCAGACTAGCAGAGAGATGAGAAATGACCTTGTGGGGCGGTATTGTCTTGTGGTGGCTAGAGCATGCAGTCCGGTACAGAGATCCACTGCGGCACACGCAAACACAGCAGCACCGCCCTCTCATCATATACTTATGACAATCATGATATTGCACGGTTATAACAAGCATCTACTATTGGAGGCCTCACGGCGCGCAAACTACAATATCTCCGCTACACAGCGCTCAGCACAACCAACGCACACTAGCTCTCACCACTATCGTCATTGAACAAACTATTGGAAAATACCGTTAGAATCAGATCGATGTCATATAGATCAGCATGCGGCTCATTACTAGCAACCCTGCACACAGTTAGGCAACGCGCACACCACGATCTAAAGCATTATCTGCATACAAGCGGAGGCGTAGCCTATGACCGTAGAAATCTCAGTTGATCTGGTGTTAGGAATGAAGCTGCTACAGCAATCCTATGCACCAGTTCCTAACGCGGCATCCACTCCAGCTTAAAGATTAGCTACAGAGGATGCAAATTCATGGAATCACGTAAGAACATTATATCCATAGACGACTCATTACAAGAATACACCTCATGTTTCTGCCAACATGCACACGCTCTCATACTATCAGTCATGTGGCAACAACTATTGGAAAATGACGCGTTAGAGAAACAGGAGCATGCTATTGGGAGGCTGGCATACAGGGATCTCCCCGCGAAGCTACCAGAGCGCACACCGCCCTAACTATCTCATAGGAGCGAGTGAACCGGTGGCATAATTTGACGGTTAGAAACAGGAGCATGCGGCTCATACAGGTGAGATCCACGTGAGCATCAACAGCACACGCTCACATACTCATTAGAGCAGTGCATGAGAACTGACGGATTAGAAACAGGCGTCATGCGTATCACACCAGGAGAGTTACCATCGGCGCATCAACACGCACACCGCTCTCACATACTCATAGGAGCGAGTGCATGGGAACTGCACGTTAGAAACAGGAGCATGCGCTCATACAGGAGATTCCGATCGAGGCAGCATCCAACACGCCACCCTCTTACATACTCATAGGAGGAGTGCATGAAACTGACGAGTTAGAAAAGCAGGAAGCATGCGGCCTCATGCAGAGAATTCCAGCGGCAGCATCAACACGCACACGCGTCAATCAATACCATAGGAGCGAGTGCATGGAACTGCACGTTTGTAAAACAGTGATCATGCACTCAACAGGGAGATTCCAGCGGCAGCATCAACACGCACACCGCTCTAACACTACTCAGTAGAGCGAGTCAAGGAATCACCGGTTAGAAATAAGGGCATCGCCTCATACAGGGAGATTCCAGGGCAGCATCAACACGCACACGCTCTCACATACTCATAGTGAGCGAGTGCATGGAACTGACGGTTAGAAACAGGAGCATCGGCTCATACAGGGAGATTCCAGCCGGCCAGCATCAACACGCACACGCTCTCACATACTCATAGGACGGAGTGATTGAGAATTGAAACTTAGTATTAAACGAGGAGGATGCAGTCCCATACATGGAGATGCTGCATACGAGACTGTTTAAGTGACTATTCAATCATGTACACGCGCTTCCATGTAATCAGTGCATTGGACAACGTTATTTGTGGAAATGAACGTTAGAACTTAGCGAGCGATGCTGGATTTTGCATTATGCGAGCTAATGCACAGGCAGAATCCCCATGCCAAGCGCGAGTACTCCAGCCGACAACACGGCACACTGTCTCACATATTCGTCACTGGGCAACCTTTTGTAATACTGTTAGCAAGGCCCGAGCATGCGTATTGGAGTATGCTGCCTATCTTCTAGTCCTCCCTCGGCTGTCCCCCTAGCATACAAACTCGCACACCACGCTAACAAGTACTCATAGGATAAGCGGTGCAGTGATATGAGGTCTAGCACACAGACTCAGTCGCTTTGGTGTTAGAGATGCCAGTGTTACAGGCAAGATCCCTGGGCACAGCAACGACGCCACACCCTCGCTTACATGACTCATAGGAGTCAGCTGCGGACTATGACGGTTAGAAACTCATTTGCTTGGTGTTAGAGCATGCAGCTGCGTACAGCAATCCCTGATGGCACCAGCCAACGCGACACGCACTGAACATTGACTCATAGAACTCGTGGATGTGAGCGTTAGACCAGATGTTGTTTACGACATGCATGCTCGTATCAGGCAGATCCCTGAGGCAACGAGCAACGGCGCCAACACCACGCTAACATACTCAAGGAGCAGAAAGCAGGGAAATTTACGGTTAGAGAAGGAATCCTATCGACTCATACAAGAGTTTCACCGTTCGCAGCCGGGCCAGCATCAACACGGCACACCGCTCTAAAATACTCATAGTGACGATCGAGTCAGGCGAATTCACGGTTAGAAACGACAGAGCTATGACGGTCGAGTACAGGAAGATGTCCAGCGCAGATATTCAACAGCAATCGCCCAACCACTCTTACATACTGGCTTAGAGGACTGTGCATGATAGACTGACGACGTTTAGAAACAGATGAGCATGCGCTCATTACAGGAATTCCAGTCGGCAGCGTCCAAAACACGCACACCGTCTTGAACATACCATAGGAGCGAGTCAGGGAATCACGTTAGAAAGGAGGAGCATGCGGCTCATTGGTTACAGGAGGATTCCACGGCAGCATTCCAACACGCACACCACTTCTCACATATCGAGGAGGCGAGTGCATTGGAAAACTGACGGTTAGAACAGGAGCATGCGCGCCATAGCAGGGAGATTCCAGCGCGAGCATCACACATGCTCCACCGTCTCAGATATCCAGTCATTGAACAACTATTTGAAATGAGCGGTTAGAAACAGGACCATTGCTATTGAGTATGCGCTCACAGGCAGATCCCGCGCGCGGGCAGCACAACGCGATACACCACGCGGGAACAACTCATAGGAGCGATTGCTGGATATTGACGTTAGAACTCAGTTGCTTGGTGTAGAGCATGCAGCTCGTACAGCAAACCCGTGAGCCACCAGCAACGCGCACACCACGCTAACATACTCATAGGAGCGAGTGCGTGGATATGACGGTTAGAAACTCAGATGCATGGTATTGAAGCATGCAGCTCGTACAGGCACAAGCTGCAGCAGTAACAGACACACCACTCGAACACATTCGTCATCAGTGAATAAAATTGACGGTTAGAAACACAGGAGCATGGTGTTGAAGCATGCAGCGCATACCGGCATACCCCTGCGGCAGCAGCAACACGCACACCGCTCGTCATTGGAGCAAGTGAATGGAATTAACGGTTAAAAACACAGGAGCATGGATCTCGTACAGGTACATCCCTGCGGCTGCAGGAACAAGTACACCGCTCGAACACATGCGACTTAGAGGCATGGAATTGACGGTTAGAAACGCAGGAGCATGGTGTTGCATTGGAGTGGTTAACGGAAAATGAAGAATGCAACTCGTATAGGCACACCGTTTCGGCAGCAGCAATATGCACACCGCTCGAATACATTCCCCATGGAACAAGTGCATGGAATGACAGAAGCGTAGAGTTTCAACAAGCAGACTTCCCTTGCCGTAGAAACAAGAGACACTTCTTAAAAGCATCCCTCGCAGACTGACTCATTGAATTAGGGAGTTAAAGCATACAACTACCACAGGCATAGCCTGCCGGCAACAGTGACAGACACACACTATTCAAATATATTCGTTGTGAACGCAGGTGCATGGAGTTGGGTATTAAAACATTTAGCGCGTGGAGGCTTTCTCCTATGTCAGGTGCTACAAGCTCAGCGTACTATACAACTGCAATTCACATACGTGCATAGAGATACTATTGTAATAAATGGAAATTGAAGCATGCAACTCACAACAAGCACACTCTTGTGGCAGCTGTTTCAAGCAAACGACTCAGAGCCACTTAAATGGGACTCAGGTGCATGGACATAACAGAATGCAGCTTTTATTAAGCATATCCCTGTGGCAGCAGCCACACACGCACACACACACAGCCTCCAACACATACACACACACACACACACACTCATAAGCACATTGGAATTAGCGGAGAGTTGTAATTGCTGAAAGTTGAAGCACGTAGCTCGCAAAACACGTCGCTCCACCCAGCGCTCGCGCTCATCAATGATAAATGGAATTTGCAAGTATAATAAGCTGGGAGTTAAAAAACACACACTAGAGGAATACCACAAAGGAGTCCGCCTCAGACACCTATGCAATGAGTTGGAGAATAAAATCATGTCTGCAGTTGGAGAATAAAATCTGCAGCAGGCAAAACGCAAATCGTTAAAAAACAGTGATCAAAAGTGTGCACCTTAGACACGGATGCAAAGAGAAGGAAGATTAGAAACCATATATCTAGAACCAGTTGACACCTGACACATCTTAATGCAATTAAGATTAGCACACACATGCACATGGTATTGAGAATTATAAGCATGCATCTCGTATAGTCACACCCCTGCGGCGGTACAATTAGTCTCAAATACAATACATTCTCCGCCGGACGGAGCATTGAATTGGAATGTTGATGCAAGAATCTCTTCCAGACACATGCTTCCAAATGGAGTTTGATACACCGCTCATAATCAAAGACATATCGAGTAAGAATGGCAAGAAGATTAGATGTGTACAACTTTGTATAGGCACAACCTCTGTGGCGAACACCAACACTGCACTCGAAGAGAAATCAAAGGTCGAGGTAAGTTACTACCTAGTGGTTGGAGATTACTAAACGTCTGCAGGTTGCCCCCTTTCACGTGCACGTTTATGCTTGCGACCTTCACATGCGACTGTGCATGAGTTAATGTGCAAGCAAATGGAGGCGTGGAGGACGTACATGCATGGCCATGCACAACTGGTAATCCACTCTCTTAGAGACAAATAAAAACAAATCCGGTCCCTAATTAAGTCGGGGCCTGGAACATGTTGCCCCATCTGCCACCCCTTCTGGACATCCTGTATATTGGTTTATTATTTCTGCGTATCTATATTGTATCCCCGTTTACGTTCGATAAAGTATAGCATTGACACCATTGGCTGTTATATTTTTTCAGTGCCATTTCACGTGCACAAATGTGCGAAATCTTAACACGGGTTTGGCTAGCCATTAACCTACACTAATCGCTCAAACAAAATGGCGGGTGTGGCGTGTCGACTCACCGCGCAGGCGCATGAGGCACAGCTCGAGCACGTCCACTAATATTTCTAACTATTTTAGAAAATACACATTTTCTTTATACTTCCTACGTAATGTTTAGTATATTGGCGTTGTTGGCTGTTATTTGTATCAAAAACGTGCATGTGCACAAATATGCGAAATTTTTGCACAGGTTTAACCAGTCATTTAGATGAATTGTTCAAAACAAAATGGCGGCATGCTCACCGCGAAGGCGCGTGAGTCGAGGCTCGACTACGTCCAATAGAATTTATATCCATTATTCAAGTATATAGATTCTCTGTATACTTTCTACGTGGAATTTACTATATTGACTCTATTGGCGGTTATAGCTCATTCACGTGCACAAATGTTCGAAATGTTTGCACAGGTTTAACCAGTCGTTTAGATGAATTGTTCAAATCAAAATGGCGGCGTGCCGACTCACCGCGCAGGCGCGTGAGCCCGGGCTCGAGCACGTCGAAGACGCGCACCAGCTCCCGGCAGATGTCGCGCTTGCGGGCCAGCAGCTCGTCGGAGAGCTCGTGGATGGTGAAGCCCTGCGCCTTGCCGTACAGCTGCGCCAGCGAGTGCTTGGCCGACAGCGCCAGGTAGTGGTGCGAGTGCAGCACGTTGCGGTACTTCTTGAGGAAGGCCTCGAGCGCGCGCACGTCGTTCGCGTCCACCGTCTCCAGCTCCTCGTTGATCCTGCGCACGCGCACGCACCACGCTCTTAATGGACTGCAAGGGGAGGCACGCTTCTTGTTTTACTTTTTACCGATACGGTACTTACATGGATCGAGAGGATCATGGTTATGAGGGAAATAGGGGGGGGGAAGTTGACTGAGGCTACATGTTCTCTTATGGACGGAATTAAGAGAGGGAATTATGAGAGGGAACTATGAGAGGGAACAATGAGAGGGAACAATGAGAGGGAACAATGAGAGGGAACAATGAGAGGGAACAATGAGTGGAAATTATGAGACGGAATTATGAGAGGGATTTATGAGTGGGATTTATGAGAGGGATTTATGAGAGGGATTTATGAGAGGGTTTATTTGAGGGTTTTGTGAGAGGGATTTATGAGAGGGTTTTGTGAGAGGGATTTATAACAGGGATTTATGGAAGGAAATTAAGGAAGGAAAATATGAAAAGAGAAACCGAGTCATGTTAACAACTGGATAATTAGTAAAACCTGAATCCTTTGAATTACATAAAAAATATGTTAGGATTCCTCTACTTCTCCATGAAGTACAAATAGACTTGTACTTCACAATTTAATTTATTAAATCATAGAATTCCTTAACTGGAGAGGAGCGTACGGTCAACCTCCCACAAGCCTCGGATAAGGAGGACGAGAAAGAAGAGGATTAGGCAGGGGAGGGAGAGAAGGAAGAAAAAGGGTAAGCGGAGAAACAGCAAGTGTAGAACGAGGAACAGAAAGACGATAAAGATGAGAAATGGGAGGAAGAGGGACATGAGGACATATAGTCAAGGAGAAGGTAGAGTGGGAGAGAAGAGAAAGAGACGAGAAAGAGGAACAGAGACAATATAAAGGGGATAAATAGGAGGAGAGGGACACGAGGAGGATGTAGAATGAGAGAGGAGGAAGAGAAAGAGAAAGAAGACAAAGAGCAAAGAGAGAAAGATGAACACAAAGAAAAAAAGAGGAAGAAGGAAAGACAGAAGGAAGACGGACGTATAGGGGACAGGATACATAGAGGAGGAAGTAGAGTAGAAAAGGAAAGGAAGAGGAGGGGGAGAAAGAGGAACAGAAATAATATAAATAGGTTGAAAGGTAGGAACAGGAGGAAGAGGGCCACGAGGAGCTAGAGTAGGATAAACCCACCGTGCGAGGTTTCAGAGGAGGAAGTAGAGTAGGAAAGGAAAGGAAGAGGAGGAGAAAGAGGAACAGAAAGAATGCGAAGAGGTGGAAAGTTAGGAACAGGAGGAAGAGGGCCACGAGGAGGTAGAGCGGGAGAAAACTATCGTGCGAGGGTTTCAGAGGAGGAAGAATAGTAGAAATGGGAAGGAAGCGGAGAGAGAGGAACAGAAAGAATGCAAAGAGGTGGAAAGTTAGGAACAGGTGGAAGAGGTGAACGAGGAGGTCGAGTGGGAGAAAACCATCGTGCGAGGTATCACAGGAGGAAGTAGAGTAGAAATGGGAAGGAAGAGGAGGAGAGAGAGGAACAGAAATAATACAAAGAGGCGGACGGGTAGGAACAGGAGGAAGAGGGCCACGAGGAGGTCACGAGGAGTGGGAGAAACCCCGAGCGTGCGCGTGCGTGACGGACCTGTCGACGAGGAGGCGCACGCTGTGGGCGTCGAGCACGAAGCCGCAGGCGGCAGCGGCACCGCAGCGCCAGGGCGCGTGGGCGTCGAGCGGCGCCGACGAGAGCAGGAAGCCGCGCGGGCACTTGGGGCACTTGAGCGCAGACACCTGCGTGCCCAGCTCCGTCGCGTCGGCGCAGCGCGCGCACGTGCAGTCGAAGAACTTGCTCTCGCGCAGGTGCTCGCGCCGCTTCAGCGTGCCCTGAACACACACACACACACACACATCACAGAACGTCAGCGGTTCGTGGATTGATTAGTGATGACGGACGCTTCAACTGCTATGGTCATTAGTCCCGAAAGTGGGGTGCGTGTTTTATGGCGGAAGGCATGTAGGCGAACGTGATGGGCACAGCTCACCTGGAGCGTGTAGGCTTAGGAAAGCGTAATGGGCATTCCTCACCTGCGGCGTGTAGGCGTAGGAGAGCGCAGTGGGCATAGCTCACCTGCAGCGTTTAGGCGTAGGAGAGCGTGATGGGCATAGCTCACCTACAGCGTGTAGGCGTATAAGAGCGTGATGGACTTAGCATACCTGCAGCGTGTAGGCGTAAGAGAGCGTGATGGGCACAGCTAACCTACAGCGGGTAGGCGTATAAGAGCGTGATGGACTTAGCATACCTGCAGCGTGTAGGCGTAGGAGAGCGTGATGGGCATAGCACACCTGCAGCGTGTAGGCGTAGGAGAGCGTGATGGGCATAGCTCACCTGCAGCGTGTAGGCGAATGAGAGCGTGATGGGTATAGCTCACCTGCAGCGTGTAGGCGTGTGAGAGCGTGATGGGCATAGTTCATCGGCAGCGTGTAGGCGTAAGAAAGCGTGAGGGAAATAGCTCACCTGCAGCGTGTAGGCGTAGGAGAGCGTGATGGGCATAGCTCACCTGCAGCGTGTAGGCGTAAGAAAGCGTGAGGGAAATAGCTCACCTTCAGCGTGTAGGCGTATGAGAGCGTGATGGGCATTTCTCACCTGCAGCGTGTAGGCGTATGAGAGCGTGATGGGCATTGCTCACCTGCAGCGTGTAGGTGTAGGAGAGCGTGATGGGCATATCTCACCTGCAGCGTGTAGGCGTAGGAGAGCGTGATGGGCATATCTCACCTGCAAAGTGTAGGCGTAGGAGAGCGTGATGGGCATATCTCACCTGCAGCGTGTAGGCGTAGGAGAGCGTGATGGGCTGGCCGCGCTTGATGGCGTGGGCGGCGCGCACGGTGAGGGAGAAGTCGTCCGTGTCGTCCGAGTGGGAGGTGTTGGGCACGCAGTCGTGCGCCAGCAGGAAGGCCGTGGGGAACAGCGCTCGGGTGCCGTGCTGCCCCACCTCGAACGAGTTCACCTACGCACACACAAGCACACCTCCCTCAACCACACGAAGACTATTGAAATGCACAGTGCTACATCATGAAAACATACATGAAAATAGAACTACTTCTAGTTTAGTGTTATGACATCACTTGTATGACACTGAACATTTTAAATTGTTAAATGGAGTGAATCATCTAATGGTTCATCGAGTTCACTAACGCACACACAAACACACGTTCCTCAACCACACAATAATGCACAAAAAATCAAAGGATCGTACGAGATAAAGGAAACATGGAAAGTTGGATTACTTGTAGTTTGTATATATTTATTATGAAGAACTTGTATGACATTGAATGTTATTAACTAAATTAACTATCTACTCATGAAACCAGTTCACTTACGTACGTACATATCCGTCAACCACGCGAAGACGATTTAAAAGCAGATTTTAATATCATGAAAACATGCATGAGGGTTGGGACGCTTTTGGTTTGTGTTCGCTGCTATGACAGCACATGTGTGATACTGATCATATTTAACTTTCGTTCAATGAAATGAAACATCAAATTGTGAAACGTGTCACCTGTGCACGTATATTTCCTTCAGCCAAGCAAATATGATTTCAAACCAACGCGAGAAATCATGAAAACGTGAAATAAGAGTTCGTTTTTATTGTTATGGCAGCACATGTCTTACGTAGAGCATTTTCAACTTTTATTTAATGAAATAAATCAACTAATTGTGATACACTTTTACACACATATATTCCTCGACTAGGCGAAGACGACTTAAAAGCAACGTGGGAGATCATGAAAACGTGAATGAGAGCTAGAGTTCTTGTCGTTTGTGTTAAGTGCAACACATGCATGTCACTGAATTTTGCCCTGATGTTTATCAAGGTCTGAGTACATAGCCGACACGTAAGATAAGAGGGACTCTCTAAGCAACATGTAATACGCTTAAAACACGTGGTCACTAACACAGGTCTGAGTTTCATAGACTTTCCTCGTGAATGGGGAACGAGTGCCCTCTTAAGTATTCGGAGTCGTGGCAACGTGCCATTAGCACCAGCTGTTTCTAATTGTGCAACCGCGGAGTGGACACAGACAGTATCTTTCGTACGAAGAGCGTCCACTTTGTGTTATGTGCTTGCGATATGATACCCGAAATGATTCCCATTTACAATGTATTATTGTTTCTCATGAATGTTTGGTAGTACCAATTATGACCTGCGTGTAGAAGTCAAAACATACTGCAAAAACATTGTCATCATTTTCAATAGCAGTGAGTGGTACGTTAGAACAGCTAATTAGTAGTGATCACTTGAAAATTGCAAAATTTGCAACTCAACGTTCGCTTGAATATTTGCAAACTGCTTGTAATGAATTCAAACTGTTTCGTGCGTATTCTACCTGCTAGAGTTTCACAAAATTTCCTGTTCGTAGTACATTTTACTTTTCTACATTCTAACAAAGAATTGAAAAATGTGTAGAATCATACAAACATTTTAGAAACTACATTCTTTCGGAGAAACGTAAGAATGACAAGTCCTGTGTTAGCGAACACAATCGCAGTTAAATCGATTTTACAATCACACTAATAGACATTTTTGGTATAAAAATTTCGGGACACTAACTAATCTTACTAATAGAAATATTACACTTACCGAAGATCCTCTTGTATGGGTACGACTTTATTAAGGGACCCTTGGTCCCTTGAGATGCTGATTAATTGGTTAGTGATGCCGGGCGTGTCAACTACTAAGCCCATTTGTCCCATACGTGTAGTACATGTGTTTTTCCTTGCGAGGTGGCTATGATTTTCCTCCATGGATGGAGATATCTGACGCCGACTTACCGGTAGGATTGCAGTGTTTTCCTCAATCTGATATTTCCCACCAGCGGGGCACCGTTCCACCTAAACAAGTTCTAAGCTCCCCACATGTGTGATAGTTTAGAACGTGTAAGTATAACTGTGTAAAATGGGTTGGGATAGGTCAAGGAGGAGGAAGAAAAGATGGTGCACGGTCTATGGTTCATTTGTTAAGGTGTTCTCCGGCATTCGTCTGGTGTTGATCGGAGAAATCACGAAAGCTGCCGATGAGAACAGCCGGCCACTATAATTCTTCTCCAGATATGCGTATGTAGGCTTCGGCGGCCGAAATCAATGCATTCTTGACTATCCGGAATGAAACGTGTCTTGGTCAATTGGGCTGACGTTTCGGCCATCTTGCTGTGGACTTACTACGGTGGAGCAGTATAAGCCCTGAAGGCCACAGCAAGATGGCCGAGACGTCAGCCCAATTGAGCGAGACGCGGCTCATCCTGGATAGCCAAGAATGTATCTCCTCGAGATAGCTACTGAATTCGACCTTGCTATTTAGCTAGTGTCGAAAATCCTGTCACCGCCGGTACTGGAACCCCAGGACTTTCCGGTCAGACGCACTTCAGTGACATCTACTGATACCCTGTACGGCCGAAGCAAGTCTTTGAGATGTTCGCTGGGCCCTGTCCTCACCTCGAGGATGCCGCAGACGGTGTGGATCTCGTCCTCCGTGAAGCGGTCCGCCATCTTCCAGTCCTCGCGAATGCGCTCCACGACCACCGCCTGGTTGTGGCGCCACAGTTCCGGCAGCTTCCGCCGGATCTCGTTGTGTGACTGTCCAAAGAGAAAGCGGCAGAATAAGACTCCTGGACACAGAGGCAGAATAATACTAAATGGGGCCCAAGGCGATTGCAAATGAGTGTCCCCCACTCGTCTGAACGGTTTAGCCGATAGCGTCGTTATTGACAGACACACTGACAGATCTTTTGCCGTCAATCGATTTTTCTGTATCGCAGCCCCACAAAACATGGATTCTGGCTGCATCATGTGTTAGAGGATATATTTTTTCTAAATTTTGCAACTGGATTTATCCAATTTTTAGATACCAGGGCCGTGTAATAAGAGTTTTTCTGCCGAAATTCGCTGTTTCTTTCGCGCAGCATTAAGTAACTCTACTCCGTAGTGAGGAAGTAAAACTCAAGGGATAATCATGGGTGTTTTTAATTCTAGGATTTTTTTCCCATCTGCTTTGTAGCATCGTAAGATAGAACATAGATTGTCTCATCTTAGTCATTGCTCTCTGCCCTGAGCCAAGGTACTAAAAGTGAGAGAAACTGCTTATTTTTAAAAAAATTAAATTTTATTAACGTTATTTAAAAAAAATATTATCCTAATCGGATTATTAATTAGTTAACAACATGTGTTCTAGATAAGAAACTAACGAAGCTATTCACAAAATGTTATTGGCTTCTTGCAAATCTCGAGGGTGATTTGGGATTTAGGTTAATATTAGAGTAGGATTATAAAGGTCAGTCTCTTCTAAATTCCGGAATGGTTCTAATTTAAGGTCTGGTTATATTTACGATATTATTCAAATTTTTTCGCGGATATTTAGATTATTATCTACTCAGTGAATTAGTAAATACATGAAATACGTATTTTAATTTTTTTATGATTAAGACACTGTACAAAATGCGCGGATCTAGATTTAGATTTAGATTTATTCAGTAAATAAATTTAAAAAAAAACAGTAAAAACTGTACGTGACGTAGGGGGAAAAGATTATCGATTATCGATATCGATGATCCAAATGGTCCAAATCTAAGATCTGGTTATATTTACAACGATATAATTACCAAATTTTTCGCGGATATTTAGACTTATCTACACAGTGAACTAGTAAATACATGTGATATGTATTTTAATTTTTTTATGATTAAGGCGCAGTACAATATGCGCGGATCTACATTTGGATTTATTCAGTCAATAAAACAGTAAAAACTGTTTGTGACGTGTGTGTGTGTGGGGAAATATTATCGATGATCGATATCGCTGATCGAGTAGGATTATAGAGGTCTGTCAGTGCAAAATTCCGGAATGGTCCAAATCTAAAATCTGGTTATATTTACAACGATATAATTACCAAATTTTTCCAGGATATTTAGACTGTTATCTTCGCAGTGAACTAGTAAATATATGTCATATGTATTTTAATTCTTTATGATAAAGACGCAGTACAAAATGCGCGGATCTAGATTTAGATTTACATTTCGATGAGTTCAGTCAAAAAAAAAAAAAAAAAAAACAGTAAAAGAAAGAAAACCACAGTAAAAAAGGTTTTGACGCGTGTGGTGTGTGTGTGTGTGTGTGTGCTGTGTGTGGTGTGTGTCTGTGGGAATATTATCGATGATCGGATATTCGGCTGATCGAGTAGCATTACAGAGGACCGTCAGTGGCAAAAGTCCCGGAATGGGCAAATCTAAGATGTGGTTAGATTTTACAAACGCTACAATTACAAACGAAGCAAATACACGTGGCGCGTGAGCGGGGTGGGGTGGGGGGAGGGGGTCTCACCTCCCATCTGTCAGAGGCGCCGCCACGCGTTCGGCCGCGCGTTCGCGCAGCAGCAGGCAGCGCAGAGGCCATGATCGGCCTGGGTAGAGCCAGCGGCGCGGGGCGGGCCACGCCGCCGCAGCCGCGGCCGCCGCCCACGCCCTGCACTCGGCCGCGCTGTGCCCGCCCGCCGCCCCCGCGCCCCGGCACGCGCGCCCGCACAGCGGCCACCCGCACCTCTCGCACCTGCAAACACACACGCACACACACACACGCGCATACGTCGCATGAGGGGCCAATATTCGGCGGCGATGGGGTAACGGTCAGCGTATCGGACTGTTTTATCCAAAGTCATTGTTCAAATCCAATCAAAACCGTGGGTTTTTAAGGGCGCAAAAATAGTTCGTTCGTGTTCCTTCGGAGGGAAAGTAAAGCCGGATGTCCCTTGTTGTAGATTTACTGCATGTAAAAGATCCTCATACCTAAATGAAGCCCCTGAGCTAAATTCAAATTGCCTGCCAAAAATACATATGTAATTTTAAAAATTGAACTAACATCTTAAAAATGAAAGAAAAAAAAGGGTGAGGAGTATGAAATTATTTAACATTACAGTAATTTTGTTAATCAATGCAAGAAAGTAAATGAAATTGTGAACATGGTATGGAAGTTGAGCCATTTATTACCTGCTGTTAGCGAACTATGGCTAAGCCATCGATAGCTATCCTATCCATAAATTTATATTCTAAAATATTACAGATAGGTCAGCAGAATCCGCACCGCAAAAGATTAAAAAGAAAGTTGTCCAGAGAATTTTTCGACCACTCTGTAGACACAAACCGATGAGTCTTTTATTATTTGTTACCTATTTAAGTTCTAAATTGTTACTGATTTCTAACAATAATTTTGTTTAATATGTATCATACATCTTATAAATATTTTATATCTAATATAATTGTCTTCTGGAGAGGAAAAAAGGCCATGCTTCAATAAATAAATTTAAAAAGTAATACAATTAATAGTTGACAATGACAACGCCCATAATTATTTCATTTCGAATACCAACCACAACTCACCGCTAAAACAATCTCCTTCTCTCACTTCTCTTTCTCCGAAAACGTGCCTGCGCTAAACGGCATGATGTCACAAGAACGTACAACTCGGTATATTAGCGTAAGCATCCCACAACCTCCCAAGCAATTAAAGCCGAAACGTAACGTTTTTGCCTCTCATGTTACAACACACAACCCGCGTGGATTTCCCGTTCCAAGAGTCGAATGAATCTCTTTCGAGTTTGAAAGCTGCGTAGGAATAATAGACTCCGCAATTAC